AATATGGGAGAAGGAGAAATTAGAAGGATAACAGAATAAAGGGAGGGACTGTCCGAAGCAAAACAAGTTCTGAATAAGGATGTACAAAAATATTTACAAGGCTCTTTTTGAGGAAGCAAAAAATAGGAATCTATTTTATGAAGAACTCACAAAGCAAGTGTTCACCTGGAGGTTAGAGGAAGCAAAACAAGGACACCCTTAAGGTTTGTTTCTCTGAAGAAATTTGGAATCGACTGCATGACATAGGAAACACTGGCAAAGGATTACCCAGCATGGCACGCCCACATCAAAAAAAAAGGCAAAGCAGAATTGCAGTAGCTCAAAAGAGACATGACATGCACAAATTTAGAGACATTTCCCCTCCACACATTCACGTGCACTATTTGTGACCAACCTGCAACACAGCCTTCTGAGCTTGTCTGTTCAGTAAAGATTGGTCTGATCAGCCACAGTCAGACATACTGTACCCTAACTTCCAATACAGTGATGTCATTTTGGTCCTCTTCGAGAATGAAGGACACCAACCAACTGGCTAAACAAACTCTCAATACACAATCAATGTTGACAGTGGAAATGAGAATATTTTTGTTCTCCACTGCCACTTTAAGACCCTCTTGAACTACCTTCAATATGCAACCTCTTCTCCTGATGTTCACGCTATTCAAATTTATCACCCAATCCAGATCCTGATGGCTATTATCTATGGACTCCACAGCATTTTGTTTCCTTTCTCACTGAGTTTAGTGCCTGGCTCACAATCTCTCTTCTCATCACCTGTACTCATAACAGGGGATATATCAACATACATGCTATTACCCCCTAAACACCTGAATATTCCAATTCCTCTATTCTACTCAGTTGCTATGACCAGGTACTACTCCAATCCATCTCTGCTACACACAGAGATGATCATACCCTTAACCTTGCCATCATCTATAAAGTTTCCACATTTCCATGTTCATGAACTCTGAAATTCCTTTAACTGATTATAATCTTTTATTATTCCTTCTTTCCCTGTGCTTTATGATCCCTGACATTGTTCTTGATTATCATTGTGACTTCCTTTCTCTCCAATCTCAGTTCATTATCAAGCAATCACCTCTACACTGGCTATGCTATACTCTCCTCTTTTTCCTATCTTGAACCCTTTCTGGACCAACTCAAACTTCACTTTCAATTCCCCTTTTCTCTGTCTTACTACAAGTCACACTACACTAAGCCCCAAGTCTGGATTACTCACATTATCCTCCTTTGTTACTCATGTGTAATTGAATGGAGCTAGAGAAAGTCGTAAAAGGGTTACTTGGACACTCTATATATTTAGGTGATCTAATCCTACCTGGGCCTTCATTGTAGCAAGGTAAAGGTATTCTTCCCTAACCGATTCACCTTCTCACTCGCCACAGCTGTGTTCCAAAATTTCTCAAGCCCTCCATGACACACCCTCCCCTAAATAAGCCCAAGGATACCTTGCAATTTCATACTTCACTGAAGAAATTGAGACTATTCACTGAGAACTGTCTTTTTGTGCCTCTTCCTCATTTCATATCACTCAGACATATTCCTCCACTACCTTCTCCCCTTCTCTCTGGTCTCCAAAAAAAAAAAAAGGTGAGGCAAAGTCTTCTACAGCAACCCTGAACTTCCTCCAGGCTTCTCCAGAAAATTGCCCCCACTATCATTTCCCCTCTCTCATCTTCACTCTCTCCATCTCTGTTAGCTACTTTTTCCTACTGCCTAACAAGCATACGCATGCATGCTTAAAAACCTTCACTTAAGCGTACCATCTCTGATAGTTTCACTCTCCTTTATAACCAAATGCCTTTAGAAAGCCCCTACTCTTGATGCTTCTAGTTCGTCTCCTCCCACTGTCTTCTAAACCCTCTGCAATGTGACTTCCACCCTCAACACTCAACTAAAACAGCCCTCTCCAAAGTTACCAATGATCTCTCTTAATTGCCAAATCAAATAGTCTCTTCTCAATCCTGATCCTCTTTGACTTCCCTGAAGCATTTGATACTGTACATCACCTTCTCCTTCCGGATTCTCTCTCCTCTCTAGGTTTTCATAAGACTGATTTCTGGTTCTCCTCTTCTCTATCAGACTCTTTATTCTGTTTCCTTTGCTAATTCTTCACCCACTTCACACCCTCCAACTGTACCCTGCAAGGCTGTCTTGGGTCCTCTTCTCTTTTCCCAACATACTATCTCCCTTGGTGATTTTATCAATTCCCATGGAATTAATCACTATGAAGATGATTCCCAGATCTACATATTCCAGCTCTGGTTTCTCTGATGAGCTATAGTCATGAATCTCCAACTATTTCTTGGAAATCTTAAACTCAATGCCCCTGTAAGCACCTCAAACATATCATATCCAAAACAGAATTCAACATCTTTCCCAACAAATCCTCCCTCTATTCCTTTCCTATCACTGTCCAGCTATCACCTTCCTCTAATTCACCAGACCCACAACTTCAATGCCACCCTCTTCACTCTAATTTGCTCCACGTACCCAATCTATTGCTAAATTTGTCATTTCTCCCTCCCCAACATGTCTTGTATATCTGTCTTCTCTCTAGTCATACTGCCACAACCCCAGTTCAGATTGTAATTCTATCTGGAATGCTGTGTTCCCTCACTTTTGCCTTTCAGTTTTCCCTGGCTTCCTTCAAAATTCAACTCAAAAACCAAAACAAAACAAAACAAAATAAAAAAGACTCAACTCAAATCCCACCTTCTACAGATCTTTCCAGGTCCACCTCTTTCTCTCCACCTCTCTCTCTCTCTCTCTCTCTCTCTCTCTCTCTCTCTCTCTCTCTCTATATATATATATATATATATATATATATATATATATATACACACACACACACACACACACACACACACACACACACACACACACACATATGTATGTGCATATGTACATAGATGGATAAATAAGCAGATATAGATTTAGATAGACAGATATAGATATACTGCACATTCAGGTATTCACAGGTTTCTTCTATTAGAATGAACACTCCTTATGGAATATTTGGGAGTTCTTTTTTGCCTTTCTTTGTACCTCCAGCACTTACCACAGTGTCTGGCACATAATAAGCACTTAGTAAATTCTTGGTGATTGACCAACTGGGAGGCAATAGTTGAAGCAAAACAAACTTATCTTTTCTTGAGGATTAAAAGGAAAAAAAAGGACTGCAAAGAATTGGAATCTAAGGGGATGTCTGGGGGAAAGGCTAAACTAATTATGATATATGGATATAATAGAATATGATTACACCATAAAAAATTATGAAAGAGATTATTTGAGAGAAAATGTTAGAAAGTATGAACCAATGCAGAGTCAACTGTATAAAAGCTGAACAGATTCCACAAGGACAACACGGCAAAGGAAAACAATTCTGAAAAGACTTAAGGACACTGATAAAAGCAGTGACCAACTACCACTTCCAGAAAGTTGATGGACTGAAGATAAAGAAACAAACATAATTTTTGGATATGGCCACTGTGTGGATGTTTTGTTTGATTATGTTTTCTTTCTTGGTTTTTAACTGATGAGTGGGAAAGGGCTGAGAAAAAAAAATTAAAGAGGGATACTGAAATATTATTTTTAAATGTACAGAAGAGAAAAACAGATACACAGGGTAGTCTTGAATGTTACACGTACATATTACATATTGTCTACAAAAGCAAGGGGTATGAAGTGGAAATTCAAGGTTTCATATAGAATCCTCTTTTCATGTTCTACTGTGTATATTAAAGAAATGCTTATTTTGGTCTTTAACTTCAGAGAGAAAAAAAGGAAAATGAATATGATGGAAGGGCCAAAAGCTTTAATAAAACTTTTTTTAAGTTAGTCTATGTTTGGGATAAAGAAATGTCTAAGGTGTCTTAGGAAGATTTCTATCCAAAATTAATAAAAGTAGTTTTGTCATTTAAAGGGTGAAATTTTGCATCTACTTTGGATATATTTTGTTTATTTGTATCTGTGTATTTGTCGCTTCATTCCCAGTGGAATATGAGTTCTTCAAAAGCAGGGACTGTTTTATTTTTGCCTTTGTAACCCCCAGCTCCTGCTACACTGGATGCTTAATAAAATGCTTGCTGAAAGAATGAATGAAAAATTTTGAAATGTGTTTTTTCTCTTCACCTTCATATTAAGCTATCCCCCAAACCTGGAATGCACTTCCTCTTTACTTTCAAGTCTAGAATCATCAGCTTCTTTCCAGGCTCTGCTCAAGTACCATCTTCTTCTCCATTCTATTTTCCAAGCAAAGTAGACTTTTTCCCCAGAGCAAACCATTACATATTCTAACTTTGTACATTTAAATAAGTATCTTCTTACATTTGGAACATATTTCTTCCTCTCAAATCCCATCTCCACTTCTCTGAATCCTTACCTTCCTTTGAGAATCAGGAAAGATATACTGCTTCCAGGAAGCTTTTCTAAGTCCCCCTAGTTATTAGTGTTCTTTCCCTCCTCAAGTTACTTTCTGAGGTCATACTGCTGAACCCATACTAATATGTAAACTTATTATTAGAGACAGTTTCATTTTTATCTTTATGTCCCCAATGCCTAGAACAACATGAAGTAAGCACTTCACTGGGTACTTACTGAATTGAATTACAAATAACAAATACAAAGTTGACAGAAAGCCTACTTTAGAGTCAGAAGACTTGGTTTCAAGTTCTACCTTTGACACAAACTGGCTCTTTCTTCTTGGATTTTACTTCTCTTGCCCTCAATTTCCTCAACAATAAAATTACGGGGCCTTTGGACTTGATGACCTACATGGTCTCTTCCAGTTCTAAATCTATGACTCTATATCTTACCCTCTCAGTGTTCACAAGCAACTAAGACTACAAATTGCAGAGCTGTTGCCCATCTTCATTGGTTAAGGGAGTTTCCTTACCAGATATTCTCTATACCACTAAAATGACACAAAGACACACACATACACACACACAAAGAGATATAAACTTTTTTCAACTTACATTAATAATTTCGTCTTTACAAAATACTAATGCTTCGGACTGCTTGCCTCGAGGGAAAGCTGCTTCAAATGCTAGTTTTGCCGCAATTGCAGCTGGGGCATAAGTGTCACATTGTGCTATTAGCCAATATCCCATGAGACTTTTTAAATGAGGTGCCAGATGTTTCTTTACTTTTAGGATAAGTTTTTCAAAAGCTAGTTGTGTGGCTTCTCGAACTCGACGGTCATAATCCTATTGAAAATACAAATATGGTTAAAAAATAATTGCTTCTTCCTCCTGAGACTGTACCTCCGTGCACAACTAATATCTAACTTGAGGTGTTTCTTTTTAAACACCAGTAAAAATCAAGAAAATAACCAAGGTATTTTTTATGGCAAGTACCTAATGTGCGTGAATCTTTCACTTTTCAAGTAGTTGGTTACTAGATGTTGCACAGACACGGCTTAAGAAACAAGGCTGGAATCTACACCCTGCTCTGATGCTAGTTTATTGGAAGGACTGCATAAGAAATCAACTCATATTTTATTTATCTTATTCTTCAAGAAGTAAACAAATAAGGATTTAAAATAAGTAACTTATTGGTTGAGAAAGTATTTGTCTGCAGTTAGGATCTAAAGTATATTATTAACAGCTATAAAAGCATAGTCCCCAGAGTCTATGTAAAACACAGGAGTCTTTTATTTTGTTTTTCTAACATTCCTCAGAATTCACTGTTCTTTTCAAAACCTCATCAAAGGGAGATCACACAAATTTAACTGCACTCATTACTGCAACAAAAGAAAATAGCAATTTTAAAATAAAAAAAATGTTTCAGTACTTACAAGAGAGATTTTGCAATAAATTCTTGGCCAGTAAGGAAGAACACCTTTTACAATCTCTGCATCTCTTTCATCACACATTGCCCCAAATTCTTGCATAGCCTAATGCAAAGAACCAATATATGCAAGGTTACTAATACTCTTTGTAGGTATGCATGAGTAGCAAAACACCTCCATGGTATATATGTCAGTTATTTTGTTCAGTTTGGCAAAGTTTAAATAATGTAAATGGAAGTTATATAGGTTAATTTTCACCTCTGCCATTTGGAAATACTTAAGACATTCCCTTACAAATGAATATAATAAGGAATTTTAGACATTTTATAAAAATCCTCTTAAAATAATTTGAATTCACAACAATATTCCTTAATATGTATCAAAGTAGTCAAAATTTAAAGATTTTTTTTTAATCACAACAACAAATCAATTCATATATCAGCTGGAGGCAGATCCAGCTTACTATGTTTCTTAAGTTTATGCTTCAGAAAAATCACTTGTAAATATGTAAGCCTAATCTAATTTCCCTTACAAACAACATAGCTAACACAACAAGATATGCTTTTGACTTTTCTAATGAAACACTATTTTAATAAAAGGGCTTTCTTGCCTAATTTTAAGGTAAAGAAGTCAACTTGCTTTTAATTTTGTTGTAACATCTTTCTTGGAAAGTTTTCGTAGGACCATCCGGAAATCAGAATCCACCAGGCTGTCTATTTCTTCTGCTCCTTGTACAGCAGGAACATAGCCCAGGTCACTCTGAGATGTCCCAAAGCCAATAAATCCAGGTACTGTTCCACGTTCTTTTGCAAGGAGTTCTGCAGCACGGCCACTGTTTGAGGGCTGATGAAAAGCAAAGAAGATAGACCAAAGAATTATCTTCTAAGACCTAATAAGAAATTACTTAAATTTTTTTTCATTGTTGTTAAGGGTTCCCCTAAACTTGTCTTTTTGAGTTACCAGATTTTTTACAAACACTAGACCCAGAGTATATAGGAAGCTATGAATGTGTAAAGGACAAAGCTCCTTCTGAGCTGACATAATTTGTTCTTTATACCCCAAGCTGGACTCCCTGCTGTGTCCTTGAGAATCAAATCAAGTGCCAGTTAGTCTGCACTAGACTGGGGAACAGCTTGTGCAGCTGGGACCCTTATAGACAAGCAGACCATCCTATCTTCACAGTTTAAGTTCTCAAGGGAATATTTAATTAAATAAAAAAATAAAACAAAATAAAATAAAAAGAATGCCCTATCTTTGTCATCAAGGAAATGTAAACAAATTTGCTTCCCAGTTTCCACAGCATGTAATATTTACCTAGTTCAAAAGGCTAGGTGGCACAGTGGATAGAGCACTGGCCCTGTAGTCAGGAGGAAGTGAGTTCAAATCCAGCCTCAGACACTTGATACTTACTAGCTGTGTGACCCTGGACAAGTCACTTAACCCCAATTACCTCACCAAAAAAAAAAAGGACACTTTTTTGCTGAGATGCCACAGAAAGGGGCTAGAAATGCATTTCAAACTTAGCTCACATAAAGAAACCCATAATTGTTTTCATAAATTTGTTGCTATAAATTTTCAAAATTATCTTGTCTCCCTGCTCTGAAGGCTTTTTGGATTACTTCTGCCACTTCAATTACTCCACTAACATTTTCTTGAATCTTCTAATTCTTTAACCTTCCACATTAGCTCTTATAAGTATCTTGATGCAATTTAAAGTATATGTGGTCTGATTCTGAGTGAAGTGAACAGAATCAAGAGAACTTTGTACACAATAACAGCTACGTTGTGCGATGACTAATACTGATAAACTTAACCCTTCTCAGCATTACAAGGCTCTAAGATATCTCCAGAGGCCTCAAAAATGCTGTCCACATCCAAAGAAAGAACTATGGAAGTTGAATCGCTATCATTTTTTTTTCTCTTCTGTTGAGTTTTGTTTCCTCTTTCTGATGGTTCCATTTATTGGTTTTAATTTTTACTTACAACTTCACTACTGTGAAAATATGTTTAATAGGAATGTAAATGTATAACTGATATCAGATTGTATGCCATCTTGAGGAGGGTGGTGGGGAGGAAGGGGGAGAAAAATTTTAAACTCAAAAGCATATGGAAGTGATTATTGATAAATCAAAATAAATTAATAACATTTAAAAAAAATTTAAAGTACATGGTTATTATCACTTGTCTTTTTGTAAGTCCCTATAATGTGCCTCAGTTTCATCATCTAAAAAAAGAAAAGGTTTGGACCATATGCCATCTAAGAGCCCTTCCAACTATGACAATTGAGTCTTTAAATATTTTTCATTCATTCCCCAATTTATTCCTTCATGGAGGTGGGGCGTCCTCAGGTGTTACACATTGCACAAGTTTTCAGACTTTCTCAATGTATCAATCAGTTGTGCTGATTTTTTTTTTTGCTCTCTAAAATAATACTATTTGTCATCTAGGATGGCTGTCTGGGAATGGGAGCAGAAGAGATACATGGGATACTGTGGTGATGAAACAGTAATAAAAACTTATTTTACAAATTGACTATTTGTCTTTTCCTATAAGTTCCTCAACAGCAAGTTCCTCATATTTTATTTCACTTCTTTTTGCAATTCTTCTAACATCCATTAAAATACTCTAAACACCATATATGTCCAATAAATGTTGCTGGCTAAATGTAAAATGACAGAAACTCAAGTCAGACATCCCTCTAGAAGTATACAGAGACCAATATGAACATAAGGTCCAAAGTTAATAAGTAGGATGGTAAAAAAGAGCAAGCCAAAAAAAAAATACTCAACCATAAAGAGCTACTATGGTGATAAGACAAGCTCAAGACATAAATACAGAAGTAGAAAATTATTGAAAAACATTTACAAGCAAAGTCTCAAAGAAAAAATGTGTCTAGGATGCAAGTCCAACAAGAATTACTAGAAGTAAAGCAAGAATTAAAGAATAAATTAAAAAAAAGATTTAAAAACCAGTTGCGAACAGAAAAGGAAAGAATGGGAAAAGAGAAAGGAATTAAAGAAGAAAAAATATGAAAAGAAAATCAACTGCTTGGAAAAAGAACAAAATCTTACTGAAGAAAATAACTCTGAAAATTAAAATTGGCCAAATGGAAATTAAAGACTACATGAGAAATCAAGAATAAAGTCAAAAGACTGTAAAAAATAGAAAAAAATTATGCTATCTCATAGGAAAAAGTAGTCTACAAAACAAAAATGTAACTAAAGAATCACCTGAAAAATGATGGAATCCTAATAAAGCTTCCCCCCAGCCCCATTCTAACTTCCTTATGGGTCCCACTGAACAGCAGGCCTGTCCTGATTCAACCACACTTCAGGTCCCCAGATTCAATACAGTCACTGCCCCAGCTAGCCACTGCCCCCAGATCCAATTCACATATCTGAACAGGTGTGTCCCTGTACTCAACCACAATCACATCAATCCATTTAGCCCAAGTCAGGACCACAACACCTAACTATCTTGACCAGACAAGACCACAATACCTAGCCAATAAGAAAGCAGCACAACCAGGCTGTCTGACCACAGAACCACAGAAGGGACCCCTCCCCATTACATAATCTCTTAACAACTCCCTCCTACTCTTTTAATATTCATAACTTCTGTTGTTTAACCAGTATCATTACACTCTAAACTTGCCTGTTTTGTCTTTATAAGTTGCTAGTTTCTCTTGGAAGCTAGCCCACTTCTGAAGGGTGTCAATTCTCCATAAATACCTATACTTGGATTAGCGGTGGTCTGACTGAATTCTTTGAGACAGTGCTGCCACAACAGACACCATGAAACCGCAACAAAAACTATAAATGTAAAAAAGACTAGACATCCTATTTTAGAAATCTTAAAAGAAAACTGTTCAGATATCTTAGAAACAGAGACAAAGTAGAAGTTAAAAAAATCTACCTCCTGAAAGAAATCTCAAAATGGAAACTTCTGGGAATATCAGAGCCAAAATTCAGAGCTCCCAAGGCAGGGAAAAATACTGCAAGCAGCTAGAAAAGATTCGAGTACGGAGGAACCAGTCAGGATCACATAGAATTTAGCAGCCACCTCTAAAAAAGCAGCAGAAAGCCTGATATATGATATTCCAGAAAGCAAAGGAACTGAGCTTACAATAAAGAAAAACCTATCCAGCAAAGCTGAGTATAATACTACATGGGGGGAAAATGGACCTTTAATGAAATAGATTTCCAAGAATTCTTGATGAAAAAGAGTTGAAAAAAAAATGTGACATATGAACACAGGAATCAAGAGAAGCATAAAAAAACAAATATGAGTGCAAAATTATAAGAGGCTAAACAAGATTAAACTGTTTACATTATTTTATGGGGAGATATACACGCAGCCCCTTGGAACCCAGAATCCTGGAGTCATAGAAAGAATTTAATTAGAAGGGCTAGGTGTGATTCTGTTGTGTTTGGAAGATCTCAAAAGAAGAATGGGATGTGATGGATAGGGAAGAGGAATGCAATGGGAGAGAGGGAGACATAAGAAAAATTGAAACAACTATGTAAATGGAGTGTATGAAAAGGAGTTTATACAACAAAGAAATGGAAGTGGAGAGGAACGGCAAGACATTAGAACTTCACTCTCACGTGAACTAAAGGAGGAAAGAATACACAAACACACACACACACATACACAATTGGATAAAGAAATACATCTTAACCAACAGGAAGGAAAGGGGTAAAGAAAAAAGGTGAGAGGTCAAGCATGGGAGGTATGAAAAGCAAAATATTCTTAAATTGAGTAGGGGAAGAAAAGAATAAGTATGAGAATAGGACAGAGAGAAATATACAGTTAGAAACCATAACAGTGAATCTGAATGGGATGAACTCTTCTATAAAATGAAATGAAAGACGACAGCAAAATGTATTAGAAACCAGAATTCAACAATATATTTATAAGAAACATCTGAAATAGAAAGACATACATATAATTAAAATATCGGACTGCAATAGAATTTATTATACTTCAGCTGAAGTAAAAAAGAAAGAGAATAATCCTATTCTCAGACAAAGCCACAGTAAAAAAAAAATAATTAAAAGAGATAAGCAGGACAACTACCTTTTGTTAACATCAATACTAAACATATATGCACAAATAGCATAGTATCTAAACTCTTAAAGGAAAGTTAAATGAAATACAGGAAGACTACAATAGTGTGGAACCAAAATTTACTTCCCTCAGACTTAGATAAATTGAACAACAAAGGAAGGAAAGGAGGGAGGAAGGAACAAACAGACTAAACAAGACTGCAGACCATTGGATTTGGAACTTTCAAAGATTCATTTAAACCCTGGCTCTGCCCCAACTATTTGTAAAACCTTGGGCCAGATATTCCGCTGCAAAAAAAAAAAAAAAGGAGTTGGACGAGATGACCTCTAAGGTTCCTTCAGTTCTGATCATATTTACATCTACAAAATGGAACTAAATCATCTACAAAAATGAGCAATCAGTAGGACCTCACATGAACCTAAAGGGAATGCTGCTAGGATTTAGACTCTGTCCTGGATGACCTACATGGAAAATGGCAAACACCTTGGCAAGTAAATGGATTCCTGTTTTATGCTTCCTTTGATAATACCACTCAGCAGCTACTTAATAAAGTTACAAAGTCTATTATATCTTTCAAAGAATCATGTAGAGTTTTAACATTCACAGGAGATATCTTATTAGAAAAGATCACTTAAGAAGGTACTTCCCTCTACCCAAACAGTTTTATTTTCTTTTTTACAACAAAAAATGAACTTAAGGCATCTTTTATTCTTCTATAAGCTTTCAATCATGTGACTATAAATAGTGGTCTATTGTAGAATTTCATTTGCAAA